AAAAAAAAAAAAAAAAAGCAGAAGTGGACTTGGCCACACGCTTAATCTTAGCTTCAAGGATGAAGAGAGCACCAAAGACTGGCACACAAATGAGCTGACTCAGAGGCCAAGGTCCTTGTCATTTTGCATCTAATAGTGCCCCTCCCCTCTTCAACAGGGATGTGGGACAAAGAGCAAAATGAGAGGAAGTTGGAAATAGGTGAATAATAGCTGAAAGCCAAGGCCACAATGTGCTTACCAGATAACATAAAAATTTTCAAGCTATAGTTACAGGTTAAATTTCTCTTAACTTTATTCTTCCTCTCATCTCTCCATTAAAGAATGATGGATGCATCCTAGGCTAGGCCCGGTGGCTCACGCCTGTAATCCCAGCACTTTGGGAGGCCGAGGCGGGTGGATCACCTGAGGTCAGGAGTTCTAAAACAGCCTTACCAACATGCTGAAACCCTGTCTCTGCTGAAAATATAAAAAATTAGGCGGGCGTGGTGTTCGATGCCTGTAATCCCAGCTACTTGGGAGGCTGAGGCAGGAGAATCGCTTGAACCTGGGAGGCAGAGGTTGCAGTCAGCCAAGATCGTGCCATTGCGCTCCAGCCTGGGCGACAAGAGCAAAACTCTGTCTCAAAAAAAAAAAAAAAAGAATGCTGCATGTTTGATGCAGAGTAGGAGATAATGAAAAATAAATAAGTAAAACAAAACAAAGAAATATACAAAGAATGACGGATGATCCACCTTGCCTTAATCTTTATTTAAAGAAAGAGAAAGGTTACTAAATTCAGATGTCATCGGAGAAGAACTTTGGAATTTGGTAACCCCAGTGATCCACTCTACAGAATTCATGTCATTTGCATCGCAGGCTTTCTCATCACTGAAGATGCAAATCCCCACGATAAGGTCCCTCTCAGTCAGCCCCCTGTTTGTACAGGCAGCCCAGATTCCCATAACTGCCTGAGACGCAGGAATGAGTCATCCTCTGCCCAAGCAGGTGGCAGTGGGCACACCTGAAGAAACGAAGTCCAGGAACAATCAGCACAACTTATGACTCCAGAGGAAGAAGTCCAGAGACAGAGCACCATGACTTCTGAGAAAGGTAAAATGGATCTGGGGGCCTGGCAAGTATTCTTGAACAATGCAAGAATGGTGTGTGTGTGTGTGTGTGTGTGTGTGTCTGTGTGTGTGTGTCCTGCTGATTCTTGCATCTGTGGGTGTTTTCAAACTTCCCCATTATTGATTAATGTATTAGTCTTAAATAAGATGATTTATTATTATTAAGTATTTACATGTTCAAGTGACTTTAGCCAAATCAGTGTTTGTTTCACCATAATAAAAAATTAAGTAGCTGGGTGTTGTGGCTCACACCTGTAATCCCAGCACTTTGGGAGTCCAAGGAGGGTGGATCACTTGAGGCTCAGGGTTCGAGACCAGCCTGGCCAACATGGTGAAACCCTATTTGTACTAAAAATACAAAAATTAGCCAGTCATAGTGGCGCATGCCTGCGGTCCTAGCTACTCCGGAGGCTGAGGCAGGAGGATCGCTTGAACCCAGGAGGTGGAGGTTGCAGTGAGCTGAGATCATGCCATTGCACTCCATCCTGGGCAACAGAGCAAGACTCTGTCTCACAAAAATAAAAAAAAAATTAAGTAAAAGTACAACTGTTTAAATAACAGTTTAAGGAAACAACAGATGTGATAGCATGAGAACAAAGTGCTAATTGATAAATGAATTGACAATAACTAATTGATAAATTAGTGCCCAGTAAGTGTTAGAAAAATGCATGGGAGAGGAAGAACACTTCAGGCTGAAGGAAGTAATTTCAACTGAGGTAGGATTTGAACTGGATTCTAAGAGATGTGTAGACCTAAAAATTTTATTTTATTTTATTTTATTTTTAGGGACTAGGGGGTTGGTTCACTACTTTTCCCAGGCTGGTCTTGAACTCCTGGGCTCAAGCAATTCTCCATCCTTGGTCTCTCAAAGTACTAGGAATACAGGCATGAGCCACCATACCTGACCAATTTCTTTTTTTTTTTTAAGACTCGCCCTGTTGCCCAGGCTGGAGTACAGTGGTGTGATCACTGCTCACTGCTGTCTTGACCTTCTGGGCTCAAGAGATCCTCCCGCCTCAGCTTCCTGGGTAGCTGGGACAACAGGCAAGGGTCACCAGGCCCTGCCAATTTTTTTGTAGAGATGAGGTTTTGCTTTATTGCTCAGGCTGGTCTTGAACTCCTGGGCTCAAGTGATCTACTAGGCTTGGCCTCCCAAAGTACTGGGATTACAGGCATAAGTCACCATGCCAGGCCAGAAGGGCAGACTTTGGATCGACAAAGAAGAGGAGATTGCAGGTTGATTGAATCCTATTGATAAACAGAATTTAAAAGCTTTAACAGAGACTTGTGTCTGGAATATAATGAATAAACCGGTTAGGCTACAAAACAATTTTTTTTTTTTTTTTTTT